AGACTCAGTTATGAAAAAGTTAGTCACATGTACAGCTAGTGTCAGGTCACCTTCTGTAAGTAATAACAGATCAGACTCAGTCATATAGCAGTTAGCTACATGTACAGCTGGTGTGAGGTCACTTGTAAATAATAACAGATCAGACTCAGTCATATAGCAGTTAGCTACATGTACAGCTAGTGTCAGGTCACTTGTAAATAATAACAGATCAGACTCAGTCATATAGCAGTTAGCTACATGTACAGCTGGTGTGAGGTCACTTGTAAGTAATAACAGATCAGGCTCAGTTATGAAGAAGTTAGTCACATGTACAGCTAGTGTCAGGTCACTTGTAAATAATAACAGATCAGACTCAGTCATATAGCAGTTAGCTACATGTACAGCTAGTGTCAGGTCACTTGTAAATAATAACAGATCAGACTCAGTCATATAGCAGTTAGCTACATGTACAGCTAGTGACAGGTCACAATGAAGTACAATGTGTAGTAGAGAAAAAAGAAATCTAAAAAAAGTGTTTTGGACACTTCCAATGAAATAAGAATTTAATAAAATGATATTAACCTAATACTTTCAACAACTTAGGAAAGAAGCTTAAAATCCACGTCACATACTAGAGAGTCATCATCATCATAGACAGCAGTACATCGATAATTCTACCGATGCTTAGCTGCGACACAATCATGAATTATTATTACTAGAGAGTAACTTTACTTTATTATATATGTTGGAGTAAGTGAGCTATAAAGTTACCAGTTCAAACAAGATTGGTTACATTTGAAAAATAAAAACCTTGATAGTAATGGAGCCAAGAACGGAGAACGTTCCAGTAATAGCTAGTAGCATTTAGAAAACAAGAGACTTGTAATACAAGGTTATTAGCTTACTTATTTCTTTTGCAAGAACAAAGGTGTAATAGTATAAATGATAAATTTCATGATTAATGTTTTACTGTCACTGTAAAACAATAATCTGAATTGACAGAAGACCAATTTTAATAATCAAACTAACTCTTCCGTTTGATATTTCTTTGTGCTGAAGATCATTAAACGACATCTGTTGTTTAGTCTCTCAAAGTATAACTATAAGACAGATTGTAGTTCAGAGTAAAATATACATGTTACAATTTTTCTAATGTCACAAGTAGGTTAAAAATCTCAATCTTCAAATAATGTGAAAAGTACTTACATCATTTCAACATCCAGAACTATTTCATCACGAGCAACATTTTCATTATAAATTTTAACACCACCAACCCTAGGAGGCTAAAAGCAAAATGTCAATTTTATAGCCAATCATAAACTTTAATGAAATCTGTAATGTACAATAAAAATATATTTTTGTATTTTATATGAAAAAACTATAGTTATAAGTTAAAGTTATACAAGTTAAGAATATGTTTAAGCTATATGTAAATAACTTTGGATAGAAAGGTTTAGCTAAGAATGAAGCAACACATGACAAAAAGCATGTCGAAAGAAGGACCGGAATGTGAAACTGTATTCCTTCTGTAGCTGACCAATCAGAAAAAAAGGGCATGGTAGGTTCAAATATTTTTGCACCATGTAATAACCAGATGTCGTCATACATGAGGTCATGCAGGTTACAATACAACTATAACTTGAAAAGGAAGACATCTTCCTTCTCTTGTCAAGACCCACAAACTAACATCTCTGGCTGTCGTCATGCATGAGGTCATGCAGGTTACAATACAACTATAACTTGAAAAGGAAGATATCTTCCTTCTCTGGTCAAGACCCACAAACTGACATCTCTGACTGTATTCATACATGAGGTCATGCAGCCAGAGATGTTAGTTTGTGGGTCTTGACCAGAGAAGGAAGATATCTTCCTTTTCAAGTTATAGTTGTATTGTAACCTAACTTTCCCACATTCTCAAGTGGATTTAGTATGTTTGAAAATCATAACTTACAATAATTAAAAAATTTTGTAGATAAAAAATAGATGTTATAAGAGATGTAATATTTGTTTATTACAGTCGTTAAAAAATGTATTGTATCACCTTATTTTGTTCCCTTTTTTCTTCTTCAGAATCATCTGTTTTAAGGCCCTAATGCATGTAGGTACAAATGTGTTTCATGTGTTTATTACATCTGTCTGGGTATTGCATCAGCCAGTCTTAAGCTACAAATAGAGGTTCCTAGTGACAGTTAGTTTAGAAGCTCATCTGCTACAAAGTGCATTTGGTGCTACCGTGATTAAGTACTGTGAGTTAACTCCATTGGAAAAAAAGCAGTCATTGTTTATTTGAGCAAAGAGAGAGAGACTTTTGACAATGCAGATTGCTAGAAAAATTACATTTAACCAACCTCCCGTGAGTCACTTGGTGCAGAGATATAGAGACTGGCTGGGTGGAGTGGCAGAAGGGTAGGAAGAAAGCTTTCACAGTAGCTGAATCATGTTCTGAAATGCATGAGCTTGCAGAGTCATTGAATATCATCCACAGATCTTAAAAGTGCATGGTAGGACACATCAGGGGTCATTGTTACCTCATGCACCATTCAATCATGCTTGTATTCAACCAGTAAGACAGCCACGAAAGAAAACCCAACAAGATGAGGCTCAACTGGACCAAGTAACATGTTGACTGGACTGATCTTCTTCAACAAGATGAGGCTCAACTGGACCAAGTAACATGTTGACTGGACTGATCTTCTTAGATAAATTAGAGATCAACTTACGTGGATCTGACGGGAAGCTCTACGCATGACGTTGATGTAGAGAAGAGTTACATCCAGTGTGTTTGTCTGTGAAGCCTCTGCAGGGCAGGTGATATGGGGATGCATCTCTGGCCAGGGTGTGTGCACCTGCGTTTTGTGAAAGGCACTGTCAATGCCGACAAGTCGAGTCCCGGTTAAAGCCAACATTTCGGGATCACTTCGGTGGGGCTGATCAGTGCACATTCCAGGATGACTGTTCCATGCCATAGGGCTAAAAAGGTTGTAATATTTATGCCATCTATGCAGTAGCTGTGAAATAAAAAAAGATATTTCTCTCTACATGTATTGAAAAGATATCTTTATTGCATTGCTTCAGGTTAAGGAGTATCTTCAAAGGAAGATGCTATGCTGGCCAGTCAACAGCCCAGCTCTTAAACCAATGAAAAACTGCTGGAAGGTAATGGTTAACAATGTACAAGAGAAGAAACCCAGTAGCACCTTGAAACTGTAGGAAGCCTTAATCTGCATGTGGCATTATTAACTATGGTTAACAAAGTACAAGAGAAGAACCCCAGTAGCGCCTTGGAACTGTAGGAAGCCTTAATCTGCATGTGGCATTATTAACTATGGTTAACAAAGTACAAGAGAAGAAACCCAGTAGCGCCTTGGAACTGTAGGAAGCCTTAATCTGCATGTGGCATTATTAACTATGGTTAACAAAGTACAAGAGAAGAAACCCAGTAGCGCCTTGGAACTGTAGGAAGCCTTAATCTGCATGTGG